CCCTCCCTCCTCCCCAGTATGTTTTCAAAGAACTCTGGTTTCTAGCACACTGATAATTTGTAGTGTCCTAAACAACATCACTTCCCATGCCCATAAAGAGCAGGCTTCAGCAAGCAGGGAACTCTCAGCATTGTGACATTCCCACCGCTGGCCATGGCAGGTTGCTCTCAGCAGGCTTGGGCACAGCTTTGGGATGCTGTGAGGGAACATGGTGTGCATCTGGATGTGGTGGACCTTATTCCTACGTGGCTGGGAGTGTGCAGATGTCACAGTCAAGCTGATTTTTCAGCTAGTTGCGATAAGAAGCAATTCTGTTTCTACTCTTTCTTCATCCTATGGCTGCTCCCCAGCAGTACTCTCCCTGCAGCTCATTGTACTGATACCATGGTGAGCCAGGATGGCAACTCACCCTGCTGCAAAAAAAAAGAAGAAAAGGAAGGATAAAGTTCTTTTCTGTGCACATCCTCGAAGGGCTGCTGAAATTAGCGAGGTCTGGCATCTGTAGGGACTGCAGGAGCAGACACTGAGGGTGTCTGTAGAAGACACGCTGCCATGTTTTGCAAAGGTGACAGAACCAGCTCTGCCTGGGCTGGTGGAGCTCAGCTTTGTTTGCAGTTTGCTTCTTCAGCCTCCCCTCTTCCCGAGGCACCCCTGCTGCTTCTGGCACAGCCCACATTCTTTCCCTGGTGGAACATCCGCCAAGAACTCCGGCTTCCGGCATGGTCAGACTTTGTTTTGAACATGTGAATTTTGTGGGAAGGGAGAGGTGGGGAATTGTAGGGTGGGGGAGGCAGTTACCATAAAAAATATCATGAGGAAAAACCGAACCAACCCCTCCCTCCCCCCACCTAAAATACATCTAAAATTAGAAGTGCCATTAACAATTCATCAGTCTTTCGACTTTCGTGTTTCTGGCACTCGTGCTTGCAACGGTCAGAACTTTGTATAACAAAATATACACGCGTTTTTTGCAACATTCACATCTTGAATGTTTTGCCCTGTTGAATCAGAGATCTTTTTGCCTTAAAAGCACATGGAACACTCTGTGTTTATGATCAGACTGTCGAAATGTCAAGGCTAATTATACTAGTGTGTTCCCAAGTGAATAAGTGCATATTCTAAAGAATATCCTGTTGAGATCAACAAAATAAGATATTGGCATGATCATTTGCAAACTGCTTTAAGAAAAAATGATAATAAGAGGCAGGATCCAAATATCAGGAAATAAAGATGGAAGAAACCTATTTGTTCACCTTATCCATCTACATTGCTGCAAAATGCAGTTTTTATGTTCTGTTGCAGAGTGATTTCTTTTTTGGTCAGTCCAGTCCCAGGTGCTTGAAAAACTGGAGCCTCTAGTACTTAAAGTGCTACTTTCGCCCGGTTTGGTCTATATTTCACCCTCTTCAGTTCTATTTTTGAGATATAAATGTTGGCCAGACATTGGGATTCAAGTTTGTTTCCAAATCATCTGGATCATTTACATTCCATCTTTGAAAGTGACACAGGAACCAAGGAGTCCAAGCCTTACTACGGTGAGGGCAACTTGGCTTCTGTGCAGACATCGTTTTTGAATGCTTGGGTCCCTCAGCCAAGTCATGTTTCCTCTGTCCATGTTTAGATAGTTTAGAGTTTGATTTCTGTTGTGCCTACTGCAGGGTGGTGCTTTCTCACAGGATGACACTTGGGATCTCCTCCAGGGGCTGCTTTGTACCGGAAGCATCCCTGCAGCCAAGTGGTGATTGTGCCTCTTGGAAGGAGGTTGTGGGAGAACAGGAGAATCCTATGGGGACCTGCTAGATTTGAAGAGGCCACTCATAAGATGAGGATTTTGTCATGTTGGTGGAAGTTGAAATCTGTTGCTCATAAGGAGACATTATATTTAAATCATATTGGAAATGTACAAACAAAAGAAAATATTTCTCCAGGTGTTTACAATATGTTTCTAAGCAGGCACACTGGCTTGTGGTGACTGGATTTATTTTTAAGTCTTGGCTTGAGATTAGCAAAGTTTTTCAAGATTTCTGTAGTGGTAGTAGTGTACATGGATTGTTCATGATACTTGAGGATTTAAGAAATGAAAAAAAATCTGGACTCTTGAAATAGATCAAGGCAACTGATTGTAGTCTAAGGGAAATATTATGATTAAAAACCCAAATAATTTCAGTTAAAATAACAAACTTCTGAATAAAGCTTGGGATTTGACTAATTTTAATAGGCATTACATAAAATGTAAATAAAATACTTAGGTTTGAGTTATTTAGGTTTCAGTTATTTAGTTTTGTAACGTTTTCTTGATTTAGTGGGTTTTTTACTTTTGTTTTCTTATGTGCCTCTACCATTCTGTAGTGATGAACTTGTATGGAATTTGTGGCAATAGTCTTCCTGCAGTTTTGAACTTGTTCAAGGGGTTTTGGTGAGATAATTTTGGACTAACTCTGGTGCTAATCAGGTGTCATCTGCCTCCCTGCCACCGGGGAAAGCAAGAGGCCGGTGCCATGTGACATGGGTGCCTGAAAAGCAGCACTCATTTAGCCCATCCCAGTCACATAGGACCGAGGTGGCAATACACAGCCTTGATGCTGCACAGCCCAGCCAGGTTTCTGCACTCCTGCAGAGTCCCACTTAATGTAATGGGGCTCCAGGTGGCAACAAAGCTCTGTGCAAGGGTGTCCATTGTGTGGCTGCTGCAGGCTTTTTGATAGCATTGAGTGTGTCCCTTTCAGAGATGTCTAATACGTGGCTGCAGTTGTGGAAAAAATGAAAATCTACAAAATGAGCCAAAAATCTATCTGTCGATAAAAATATAAAACTTGGCATTTATGTAAATCACTTACTGCTGAATTAAAGTTTGGGACCTGACTCATTTTAATAAAGACCTGGAGTTTGAAGGCAAATCTTTATCTGTAGAGAAAACAAAATCTTGTTACCTCACTTTCCTGAATGAAATCTATTCACATAGTGTAGTTCAGTTCGTGTTCCCAAAGCACTTGGAGATCATGAGATAACCCTCTCGACCTGAAGAAGAGAGAGTGTCAAGGAAAAAAGGCGTAGCTAATGACCCGGGTCAGCTAATTACAACAATCGTTTGCTGTTCCCTGATCACTCTCTGACCTCCATTACCCTTCCTAAGTGTGCTTTGGGTCTTTAGCAAGGTCTCTTTCTTGCTCTACAGGCTGAATCTAGACCCATCCTCAACCACTGCTCGTTGCAGGTTTTGCTTCTCCACCCCGGTGCCTTGTCCCTGCCAGCTGCTTTCAGAAATGGTTCATGTGGAGACAGAGGAGGGGGTTAGTATGTACAGCAAAACATCAAGAGAGGGATTTGTGACATGGAACAGAGGCTTCACCTATCCCTCTGTCCTAGACCTTAAACTGGAGTGGGAGTGTATAATTGAGGAGTAGATGTTGCGGCCAAAGGAAGAGGCAGCTGTGTGAACCAAGCATCTCATTCTGAAAAGAGGATGAAGTCAGAACAAACTACATGGTGACAGATGGCCTATGTCAGAAACCAGATGGCCCAGCGAGTCCCCCTACTCCTGTCATGAAACAGCAAGCAGAGGAAAAGCCCACAGTGCAGCCCAAAATGTTGTTACCCTCCTGTGTGAGGGCCACTCATGGTTTATAAATGGTGTCACACATACAGTCCCAGTCTGTGATACCTGATTGATAAGCCAGCAAGGGCTGCTTGCTGGAAGGGTTACAGATCTGAGCCCCATCTTATACAAATACATTTATATGTGACTCTTCAGCTAACCTGCCTCAGCAGCTTTCAGGCCAGGCTGCCTTACAGGCTGAGCAAATCTACTTTATCAGATGTTAGCACTCAGTTGAGTGTGGGGGACAGTGAGCCAGCTAACAATACACTCATCCTTCCTTGGAGGGAAGAATTGAAGTCTTATCTAATTAATTGTATTTATAGATGAGCACTGCAGCTGCTTCAGGATGTAGGATTATGATCAACTGGCTGCTTGTTTACAAATGTGTGCAGTCTCTATTACTTTAACCAACCATTCTTTCCCTCAGTGCTCCCCCATGGAGCTGAGAGCTGTAATCAGGAGCCTGCTCTGACCCTGCAACAAGGCAATGTGCCTGCACCCTGCTCCAGGCACCCCTGCACTGACTCCTTGCCCTTCCAGTTTATGATGTGTGGAATCCCTATAATATTAATAAATGTGTGTTGCAACTCCTATTATGTCTGCATTTGTGATATCTTGTATTTTCCTAACTTGGATGTAGTAAGAAACATCCAAGACTTGGAAAACTTAAAACATGAACTGAGAATGACGTGAAGAAAAGCAGATTTATAGCTAATATGTCCCACAAATCCAAACCCCATCTGGTTGTTGTGCTTCCCTGGGAACGAATTTCAAAGTGGTTCTGAAATGCTAATCTAGTACTAAAGTTCTGACCTACTGTTGTAAGTTTATTAAGAGATGTTTTGTACATATGTGAACACATGAAAACTTGCTGGGAGGGATTTGTGTATTTTGTACATGGGGCTTGTATTTTTCTAATTAAAAGCTTGAAGTTCTGTTGGTCATTAGACCAATATAGTATCCCAATATCTAAGTATGTGCACTTCTAACAGTGCATTAAGTGATGCCACTAACTTGTCAGCAAGTTAAAGACAGTACAGTACAGACTAAATAGGTTTGGCTGGCACTTAGATTAAATGGAGAGGTTTCCCTTTTCTCATTAAATCTGGCACAGTAATGATAGTGATTTAAAACACTAAAGCTTGAAAGAATAGCCAGTTTTTTCCTCAGGAGAGGCTGTATTTGAGAGGAAACTAGGGATCAGAATTCCTGTGTTGAATCTGCTGGACCATGGAAATGTGTGCCAAGGACACCTTTCTTGTCTAGGAGCACTGAGTTCAGCGTGCATCTTCTGCATGTCTCATGTCAGACACTGAGTGTGTTTGAAATACAATGCCATTATTTCTGATACATCTGCGTTAAATGTGCAAAAATCAAAAGTTCATATTTAAAACATTTGCAGGTCTGGTTTAGTAATCGTCGTGCCAGATGGAGGAAACAGGCAGGAGCCAACCAACTGATGGCTTTCAACCATCTGATCCCTGGAGGATTCCCACCCAGTGCCATGCCGACTTTGCCGACGTACCAGCTCTCTGAGCCCTCCTACCAACCCACCTCCATACCGCAAGGTACAGTAGCCCACAGGTACTTGGTTAAAACAGTGTTTTTGGGAGGGTTTCCTGTGCTCATCCATTGTAGAAATATTTTCTTTATTGGCCAATTTAGGGCCTGACTCAGGGAGGAATCTGCAAGCCTGCTTACTTTAAGCATGTAAGAACTCAGGTTTGTTTTGCTACAGCAATGGGGTGGTTCCATGTGAAGGCTGCTCTGCAGAGAGATAATTACCTTCTGCCCAGCAGACATGCATCTTTGGTGAAATGATGGACACTCATCCCTGCCCTGCCACTGCACTGGCCTGCATTGCTGGAAGTGTCTGGTGTGATGTAGGAGACAGGTGCACTCTCTCCTTGCTGTGGCTATCAGCATTGGAACTTCTGTAAATACTCTGAATATTTATTTGATGGTGGAAAAAACAGTTTGTTTCACATCAGATGGTAGCCAGTCTCAGTAGGGTAAATATTTTCTTAATGTTATCAGAAATTCTGTGAACTTTGGATTTGAGTGAGAGGGAACAGACCCTCAAATCTAGGCTTTGTTAAGTTTTACTATTAAATAAAAACCTGATGAGTGAGATTTTATAAAATGTTATGTTATAAAAGTTATGTGCTCTTATTGCTTCCTCCTTTGAGATTTGGATCCTATCTCTTAGTGGAGGTTCTAATTGAGGGAATTTTTCAAAGCCCAGGGCTTCTCCCATCCATTGCTTGACTTGATACAAACCATGGTGGGATTTCTGAGCTGTGACCAGGAGGTGAAAGCCGGTCTTACAAGTAAATAAATATTTTCCTTCATTTTTATCTATAGACATATATAAAAAAATATTGCTGACCTTATGTGCTCATTAAAGGTTGTCTGAAAACCACATGTCTGTTGTTATGATATTTATAGTCTGTTTAAAAACTTTTTGTGTAAACTCACAGGCCAGGTAAATATCCAGAAATATCATTGATTTACTTTTCTACTTAACCAGTATTTGGATGCAGGTTCTGATGCAGTTCTCTTAAGCTGAGCTTCACATAATGAATTTATTATGCCACAAGTAAAGGAGGAAAACATATCAACATGTTTCTTGTGCTTCCAGCTGTGTCTGATCCAAGCAGTACCGTCCATAGACCTCAGCCTCTCCCTCCAAGCACTGTACACCAAAGCAGCCTCCCTTCGAACCCAGAGAGCAGCTCTGCCTATTGCCTCCCCAGCAGCAGGCATGGATTTTCCAGCTATACAGACAGCTTTGTGCCTCCGTCCGGGCCCTCCAATCCCATGAACCCTGCCATTGGCAATGGCCTCTCACCTCAGGTCAGTCCTGTGTTTTCAGACAGAGGATTTGCTGTATACCAGAACCAAAGAGTCTATTCCCTCAGGCCACAGTATAATGAATTGCCAAATTTAAACCATAATGTATTCTTTATATAAGCCACATGATTTCAGTTTGCTAGTTTCCTTTTTTTTTTTTTTTCTTAATTTTTTTTCCTCCTACTGGCTGAATGAAGAGTCATAGCTTATATTTAATTTCAACTGATTTATAATGCAATCATGCAGACTTTGTGTTTGCAGTCAGTTATCAAGCATTTGTAATGTACCACTGTTCTCCTGAAGATCCAAGGCTAGGTACAGAAAACAGATCTTGTATTTTTTTCTCTGAATAAAATATCCCATTAAAATAACCTCATCAAGATTTTACCAAGTGGTCCAGGAAAATTATGGGCAAGTTGTACGAAGAGGGTTCCAAGGACTGAGAAATGTGTATTGAGATGAGCTATAATCGAGTTATAAATACATAAATTAGCATATTACTGCTCTTTGGCAATATATAAATGCATGAATACCATAATTGTTTTTCTAATTTGCGTGAGCTCTTTTAAGGAAATCAGGTTAATAAATTGCCTCGATAATTGAGTGTCAAAAGATTGGTTAAATTTTCCTACACATGGCATCTGTCTGAAGTTGACATTATTAGTTAAAGCTTGCATAGATGGTAGTTTATTTTATTAGCAAGAGCTCTGCCCAGGTGCTTGGAAAGAGATGTCCACTAAATTCTGAGGAGTCACAAAGAGGATGCAATCTATAATTACAATCAGGAATCTCTTCAGGGCTGAAAGTGAGAGTTTTAACAGCTTTATCTGCTTTCTACCCTTTTTTCCTCTCAGTGGTTAGAAAAACAGAGAGAAGCTCAGAATGACACAAATGAAAAGTGAAAAGACAATTATACTCAATTACACACTAATCACTGACTATCACCACTGCCTAAGCAGGGAGAGGGCATTCTAATAGGCAGAAAATGAGATTTTAATGGCACAAAGGGTGGCCAAAATAACGACTCGTATATCTTTGCCTCCTTCGTTTTCTTCAAGTTGTGGTTTGCATCTCGGGAGTGCAGTTCCTGGTTCCTGTGCAACGGTGATAACTCTGTGCAGCTGAAAAGTTCAAAGGCACTGGAGTTGAAAAGAATGAATAACAAAGGCAATGAAATAAACATTTTTGCCCAAAGGCAAAAGTTCATAAACCCTTTTTTGTAACGGTAAATGTAATTAAGATTCACAGATTCCTATAGCATAGAGTGGGGTACAAAACTTTATGGCTTGAAACCCCATGAAAAAAATACCACCAGAAAAACAAATGGATGTACTTCCAACAAGACTTGAATATATTTTGTTTGAAAGAATTCTGATTTCTAAATGCAAACTTCAACAAAATCCATTACATTATATAAGTTGTTTCTTTCTTTTTTTTTTTTTTTTTTAATGGCTAGTTTCATAGTGTGCAAGGCTTCCATATTTTTGACATAATTATCTATCTGGTTTTCAATGTTAATCCATAAAAAGTAGTTGTTAGTGTCCATTTGAATGTGTGTTGGTTCTGGCTGTGGAAAATGTGATCGTTTTTTTTCCACCCTTCACAAAGCTTTTATTGTCTGTGACACAGAAGTGGAGCACAACAGTAAAGAAATCTTGTGATGGCTGGGAAAAATGGGACAAAAATGTGAGGCCAGGTCTCCTCCTGTAAAAGTCTTGCTGATTTGAGGTTTGATGTAATCAAAAGGACATTCTGTGCTTTTTTACAACCAGCCCAGTCTTTACACTAGGAGACTTCTGTTGTGATTTTGTTTGTTTTCCTTAGACTTCTGAAACCTTTTTCTAACTCAGTGTTTAGCTTCTGTCTGTGTCCAGCAGCTCTACCAACAGGTTTAGGGGGATGCTGATCCCTCTAAAGCTGATATCATGCTATCATAGCTCAGTGCACAGAGAAGATTACTTATATCCATTAGATTTGAAACAGCTTCTTGGCAACTGAATGATTACCTTCAACAGATGTTTAAAATCTTTCCATCAAACAAACAAATGAAAAACCCAGACTTAAATTCATGTGCCATTACCAACAGCTCCTCTATATCAGTTTTGGTGCCTAAACAATGAGTTAGAGACATGTATAAAATGTAGAGATGTATAAAGTGACACTCAGATTTTGTGTTATATGATGCAGTAATACAGCCTCAAACATGTAAATTATGTGCAACAAATTGTGGGAGTGTAGCAGACCAGTGAAACTCTTGATGCCCTAAGGAGCCTCAGCTGCTGGTCACAATGTTGGTGTGTGAAATGTCCCTGAGCTTTGGGGTGTGCCACTGTGCATCCCCTCTCCATGTTTCCTCAGGGTTTGTCCTGAGGTCCTGAAAGAGAGGCTGAGGTGAGGTAAAGTTGAAAGCCAGCTCTGCATTTGGGGTTTCATGGGAAAGGGAAACAGGAGTTTTGCTGCTGAGTGGGCATGTTGCACTGCCCTGCCTGTGTGCATGGAATTTAGATGAGAAAGAAAGAGGGTCTATTTACTAGCCAGTGCATTTTTGACCACAATAAATCTGTGTGTGTGTGCAATTAACATAATGTTTCCACCCATCCATGTGTCTCTTGCAGGCAAGTGCTCCTGACAAACTGAGTCTAAAGCTGAATTTGTGGTGGCTGTAGCAGAGAGGGGGAAGGGGGGCTTTGTCTGAAGCCCAGATAATATTTTGTGATTTAAAAAGAAACACCTTTAGAACATACAGAACAAAATCTAAGATACACAGGATCATATTCTTAGCAGACTTAAGCCTTTCTCCTCTTTGTCATTGATTTGTTGCAAATGATGGTCTGACACAAAGTTGTCAGGGAACAGTTATTTTCTATGTAGAATGAAACAATTCTAACTTTTTTATTGAATATGATTGACAAATATGGTGTCTAAGGCAAGCACTGGTGAAGGCAGAGGACAAGCAGAGATACCTAGGGTGATGTAATTTCATTTTTATTGTGTTAGCCTTGAATTTCGGGGTGAGAGGAGACTGTATTTCTCAGTTCTAGGAAGCAGAATGCTCCATTACATACCTGTTTTGCAAGCTGGGTGATGAAAAGTTGTCGATCCTATTTAAAAATATAAGGGAATAGAGGGAACCTCTGTCTTGCAGGCATGCAATGGGTTGACTTTTGCTGGAAAAAGTCAAGGATTAATGTCTTGGGGAGCTGGCAGCCTGGAGTGTTTGTATTTCATGAAAAAGCAACTCAACTGCAAGCATGCCATCTCAGCCAGGGCTCTTTGAATATAATGTCAGAAAAGAGATTATTAGTGTGTAATATATGTAAATTGCATATTTTTATGTTTTCTATGCCTATTATGCATATTCTTGCCTGTCATGCATACATTTATGGGAATATTGTATTTCCTTTTCAAATTAGGTTTTAGTTGCTCAGTGAATTTTCTTTTAACAAATGTTTTTTAACTCAGAATTATGAGGGGATAGCATATCTGGACATTAATGTATGTATACAGGACTTAGGCATGCTTTTGGATTGCCATGGCATTTTATGATTAGTGGCCATGGCTGGCTTTTTGCTGTGAAGCAGAACAGTGACTGCAGAAACACTTGTCTCACAACTGCAGGTGTATGGTCTTAGTAAAGGGCAGATTGTTTCAAAGACAGGATATCAATATTTTGAACTGCTTCATTTAAGATAAGGAAAAAGTCTTTTCCGGTGTACATCGGCATCCCCTGACCTCCTCATGTGCTTTTTATTAGTGTCAGAGCAGCAGAGCTTGCCCTACACCAGGTCAGGCAGTTTGCTGGTTTGGAGAATGTTGTTCTGGCTGCTGTGGATTCAGGTGGAGCAGCAATACTCTGCTGCCCATGAGGCCATGTGCTTCCTGTATTTAACCTGTAGGATATTTAACCTGTAGGATAATCCAGGCTTAAACAGTACTTCAGTTTTAAGATTTTACTGGGAGTAGAACAAATGTGTGTAACCTGTCTCCTGCTAGGCATAATATTTTTTCCTCCTTGCCCTCTAGAAAACTTGTCAGATCTACTCTTTCCTCTTGCTTGCCTCTCCCCCTCCTCCTCCTTAATTGAATCAAACCCATAGCTTTAAAGGCTGCAGTATTAAAATGAGAAGTAGATTGAGTATTGAGTGGTCTGTGTAGGAGATCATAACAGTCTTTAACAAAGTTTGCAGTTTCATGCCATTACCTGGAGTTCAGGAATAATCTTGATAAGAAAATCCCAAACTTTTCCATGAACAGTAGTAAAGATGCAAGCTGTTTCAGGGTTTCTTTCTTCTACTGTCAAAACATTTCACTGCCTGACTCTAAGAGTTACCCTGTGACTCCTTTTGGTGAGATAGATCTTAGGCAATGCACTTCTCTTAAATCTTTGAGAGCACTTGGTTTTCATTAACCTGACGTATGGAACTGATAGCAGCTGTCGAATCAGTTAGATATGTTCATGTTGTCTTGTTAATTCTGTTTTTAAGGGAGACACTGGAACCAGGGCTAAAAATTTTCATTCCCTCATTAAGAGGGACAAGAGCAGTGAAGAAAAGCAACTATTAATTCATGATACTTTTCCCTATCCATTCTGTTGGATTACCTTGAACTGGTTGCCTACAGAAACATTTCCTTTGGGTTCAAGCCCCACAGCAATGCGAAGCTCATGATCTGAAGATCATGATCACAATGCACTTGGCTTTGAGAGCTCTTTGCTTAATGACCCAAGAACATGAGACAGGGCATGGATTTCTTTGTGAGGAAGAAAGTTAAATCACATGATATAATTTTTATGAACACGAGTTTTTGTTCTTTTATTTTTTTAATTTAAAAACAGAAGTTCAGACAATGAGGTTGATTATTTTTTGTTTCTGTGACTAAAATAGATGAGATTCAATAGTTTTGTAATTGTTACTGTGTAAAAATAACATGTATTATTTCTTTTGTAAATATACTAATATTTTATATAAAATATTCTCTATTTTATATAAGTATACACATATAGA